TGAGAGACCTCTAAACTGACAGGCGATAAAACAAAGAACTAAGAGATAGATAGTGGCATAGGTGACAACTAGGACAATGGATTGGATGTCTGGGGAAAAACTGGCTGAATAAATAAACAAAAAACAATGAATGGATGCGTGAAGTGATTGTCACAAGCATTGCGTTAATCACGCAATGGGATAGTCAAAACAAGTTTTCTCATCATTCCTGAATTAGCTGAGATACTTAAGAACAGGAGAACCAGCAACAATTTATTGGTCCAATTGCTTGTTACTTGCCTTTTATTGGCGAAAAGTAAAAAGAATCATCAAATAAATCGCCAAAACAAAACGTACGGTAAACACTGAAACAACATGGATGTCACGGTATCTGATTTGACCTTTGTCCTCAGTACCCACAATGCAATCAACATAATGATTAATTTATTTACAGTCATCGGATTTTCTTTTTCTTTTAAATGGTAATTTTGTTATGTGAAAATATTTTTCTTATTATTACTTGGGGTTTTCAACTATTACAATATCTCAGTGCATTTATAAAACCTATGAAAGAAATTTAAAAGAAATAAATGAAAGGCTAGAATTTCACAACTTGTTCCATTACACTTTTACAAAGAATAAAATTGATATTCTTCATTTGTCAAAGTTTATATTTTTTTTACACATCAAGTGGTTTAACTTATTCATCAAAATAATTCAAGAACATTAATATAGTACTTGTACACAGTATTTAATTGATGTAAATATAAAAGTGCTAAGAATTTCCTTTGATCACTGGTAGCATAGTGGTTGTCGCTCCAGACTCATGATCGGTAGACCCAAGTTCAAATCCTACCTTAGGCTGAACATCAAAGGGTCAACCCCTACCCTGGGTGAGTGTGCCACAGACTCAATGGGAAGGCCAATTCCACTGGCCGAGATTCATTCACTAACGAATGCGACTTTGGGGGAACCTTTGTTAAGGTCCGCAGGTGCTTGTGTTCGACCGAGCCTGGTTGACGCCAGGGTAGCGCATTAAAATTGCCATTTGACAGAGAGATGGCCACACAGCCCTGTCATGTAGTACCAAACATGAATATGACTTCTGTGGCAAAATGCACTATGTGTCAGCACTAGCACTTGCAATTTGCATATACAAAAAAAAGTCATGAGAGACAACGGTGACATTCAATGTCCAGAACTGTCGCCTGGCACAAAAATATTTAAAAAAAAAAAAAATGTTGAAATGTTTGATTAGTATGCTAATTTTATGCAAATTAAATATGCTAATTATATGCAAATTAGCATCCCTCTTTAAATTTTATTTGTGGAGAACACTGATGTAACTCGGATATCCATGTGCTATATTTGCTCTATTTAGAAGCTCATCCATAGGTACATATAAACCAAAAATCACATTAGCTGTATACTAAATCATTAAAAAATTACTTATTTTGAAAATAGAAAAAATCACTGTAATTTACATTGGCGCATGAGCTAAATAATAAATATTCCATTTGTATATGTACTTTGATCATGCTTGGTATGACCAATCGCGTACACAAATTCTCCTGGTAGTTATCAGTTTTGCAGCAAGAATTAACTTTGAGTTTTGATTTGTTTCAGAATAAAGATGACAGGCTCACGAAAGAAGAATTTCAAGAAGGTTCTAAATCTGATCCCTCCATAGTGCAGGCATTGTCACTTTATGATGGTCTTGTGTAATTTCCACATTTCAGAGAATTCTGGTCAAAACCATTAAATTATTATAAATTATACCCTTTTGGTCCAAAATCCTTGTACATTATTATGGAAATATCCAAAATGCGCGGCCATATTTATGTGGGAAAAGAGACACCTAAGTTTTCCCAAACCAACCTCATTTGCCCGATTGATACCTTGTTACATTTGTCTTGTATACTGAAAACTGCTTAATTTTTACTGCAAGGAATAATTTTGATTTTAGGATTTTTTTGCATTCATTAAGGCAAAATTTCCTGAAAGTCTTTGACATTTAATGTTGTGTAGGACTCACAAAATTATAGTGGTTTACAGTATTTATGGCATGTGTTTCTTGTTGAAGAAAGATGCATTTATTTCAAGATAACGAAACGGATATAACAGCATTGTTAACAAATAACAACACAAAGCATTACATACTGTGACTGATTTATTCATGGACGTTTTAATTGGTGAAATAAGTAAACAAAAACTAGAATATAACGGTTGCGACATTCAAATAATGTTGCAAATGTTTTTTTCAAGCACAAAACGTCCATGAAATTCACTACAAATCATTGAAAACCCACAGTATAGTATTGGGAGTAGTGTTGGTGAAATTGTTCTCGTCTGTGCATGCGTTTGCATTTAATCTGTTTCAAGCTCTGAACAATGGTCTGTGTTTATGCAAGTTCTGTTTTTCAAGAACATTTTGAATTATGGCAGACTTTATTACAAGACTTTCCTTTATAGTGCAACAAGAAATTCCTGAACAAAGATGGACAGAGGAGGGTGTTAAATAAACATGGAATATTTAATTTTGTCTTTGCTACACCATGATGACAACCATTTGTATTTTAATAATTGTATTGTCAATTGACTAATTTCAAGAATTTCACCCATATAAGTGGCACTTTTATTGCTGTGCGAAATGAAGTAATAGTGGTCAATTACTGGAGATTTTTTCCCATGAATTTTGAACGGTTCAGCCAGAAAATTGATTCTGCATGACTAGTCACAAAATTTCTTGTTTCCAGATGATTAAAAATCATTATGTAATATAATGAATTCCTGAGATTCCATTGGAAACATAAAAAGACAGCTCAGACAGACACATCACCATTTTTACTTCTGTATACCTAGAGCCGTGGTTTAACGATTCTTCTCCAGCATTTGTATATTTTGTACCAATACCCATTTTGAAGTTTCTCTTATTCTGCATGTCATATTTTATTTTTGCTGATGTATATTCTTATTGACAGTGCTGTCATACTTTTAGGTGTGAATATTTGTTTTTATAATCTATTTATTGGTATATTGATATTTGTGTCAAGTATTTTTTCAGTTGTATTTTTTTTGCATAGTTTGGTGAAAACCTGAATGTGTAATTATTTAAAAGCATTTTTTTTACTCATTTAGGTTAGAAAGGTTAACATTGCTAGTATACTACTTGTTGTGTATAATCCTGAGTTATTGGTTCCATCAAACAGGAAATATTTAAAATAAAATGGCATATGTATGACAAATCATCCACAATAAGAATGTACTTGCGTATACATGTACCCTTTGATGTTGTATTTATTTGAATTGCTGTACAGTATTGTTAGAATTTGATAATATAGTGATCGTACAATATGACTTTGCGAGACGCGTTTTTTTTCTTGTGCAATTGGACCACCGCTTCCAGATGGTGAATATATTGCTTTTGTATCAACCATTTATCACATTTTGGTCATGTATATATTAGTTCATGCCAGACTATGTTTTAAGATCCGTTTGCCCGATGTCCATTTCTGAAACATGCTTGGACTGAATTTGTGCGAAGTTGGTGCAAAGACAATAATGACATACATATGTGCATCGATTTTTTTTTTCTTTTTCGTTGCTCATCCTGGTGGGCATGTGTATCCATCAAATCAACAATTGTACATGTCACCAAGCATTTCTTGGCCTGCTTTGACCAATTTCATTAAATCTTGGCATTTACATCGCACTTAGGTGGCCTCTTATGAATACAATTTTGGGGATTTGATACAAAATGGCTCTTTTTAGCTTCACAGCTTTTTGAACATAATGAAAAACGCACATGTGTATATTAGTTTATTTGTATACTTTTACATTGGATTTATTGATTGTGAAACCACCAATAAACATGACACTAAAACAAATAGTCAATGCTATTAAAAATCAATGGTATACTAAAACGTTGTGCTATGGCGACTGAAAATAAGTGTTGACTATTGATTTCTTGAAATTTAATTTATTGATTATAATCTATTACATGTTTTATATATTCATATTTAATGCAAATATTTCAAACTGATTTGTTAGTTCTTGATAAATAAAATCCATGTTCCCACCTGGAGTGCCAATCTTTGTCAAGAGGTGGTCTTTACAGTTTACATGTGTGTCGTTATGATTATTAATTTTTATTAACATTGTGAACTTAACCCCAAAATTCAAATTCGACTCTGGTATACATATTATTACAACCTTCTAATTATCCATTAACATTCGATCTATTAGTAAACTTTATGATGACATAGTTTTTTAAACACTATCAATCCCAACTTTGCTTTCATTGCTTTGGGACATGGTTATGTAATATTCCACGGTATCGTTTTGTCGACTCTAAACGCCTGCATTCCATATAAATGAGTCTTTGCCCTTTTCACGTGTTAATGAGATCAAAGTCGCCCACGATCTTCCTTGTTGTCAGTGTCATCTACCGGAAACCGGATATGAAAAATGTCTAGGGCCAAATTGTCATCCCAAAACAAAGTATTTGAGGGGAGGGGGGTCAATATTAATGTCATTCTGAATACTCGTACCACTGCTAATAATCTGTCTTCATCAGACTACAGTCACTCGCACACAGCACACGATAGGTTTATGGTTAGGTCCGTAAAGGTTCGTCACTCTCAAAAATAGAAAAAATACTTCTGTTGTACTGCCAATGCGGAGCAAAGAATAACAGGATTGTTGACGAGCTCAGATGCGTTTTCCATGTGACAACTGATGATAAATCTGAAAAAAAAACACGTTAATGTGTCTCAATGAACACTATTTCATCATGGTTTATACCAATTACTAAAACATAAATATTTTATATACATCAGTTATGTAATGTTACCAACAGCAAAACATCACGTTTTACCACGACACGTACCGTTATGGCGTATATGTGCCACGTGGAAGTATAAAACACTACGAAACTCGCAAAATCACCCTACTGGGTCACAGATTTGTAATATGGATTAAAATAATCAACGTTAGCCTGTTATGTTCTATATATTGTAAAGTAAATAAAGTGATTGTTTAGCAGGAAAATCGTTGGATATAAACGAGTCCACGTTTACCGAGATCCATCTGTTGAATTCTGCCTACACTTTCGAAAATCGCAGCTATATATGACCACATTAATGGGACAGAATATAATCAATTAGTGCATAATATTCACAATTTGAATTGAACACATCAGAGGCAAATAATGTAAACAAATCACATAGACGTAAGGCTGTCATTGTCAAAAATAAAATCAATGGCATCGTAGACTCGTACTTTAAAAACCTCCAGACATTACAGAATATCAAATAGAATCGAATGCACGACGTGTTTCGTGGTAAAAACCATTACCCAATAATAGTATTATCTCTTCAGCGCTTTTCGCCAATTAGCCCGAATGGGACATAACGCGAGACCTGCATCTTCCATGCAATTCTACCAATCGAATGAAGACCACATATGTTATCCATTATTAGTTCCCGTTCGGACGAAGTCCGAAAACGGGGACTTATAATTCGGTCTCCGTCCGTGCGTCCGTCCGGAGTCGTATCTCAGAATCCCTTGGACCGATTCCGTTCATTTTTTGCATGTGCCTAGTACTTTATCTGGGACATATGCACATGCAGTGGTTTAGCGATTCGATCAAAATGGCCGACAGGCAGCCATCTTGTTTTTTGAAAATGTTGTATTTTGGACATGCTTTGTCAGTTTTCATTCAGATTTGGTACATAGATTATACATGTTAGGATACATGTCCATGTCGATTTATTTCACAATTGGATCAAAGATGGCCGACTGGCAGCCATCTTGTTTTTTGAAAATGTTGTATTTTGGACATGCTTTGTCAGTTTTCATTCAAATTTAGTACATCGATCATACATGTTAGGATACATGTCCATCCGTCCGTCAGTCTGTCAATAGTAATATTTCAGAATCCTGTGGACCGATTCCGTTCATTCTTTGCATGTGCCTAGTACCGTATGTGGTACATATGCACATGCAGTGGTTTAGCGATTGATTCAAAATGGCCGACTGGCAGCCATCTTGTTTTTTGAAAATGTTGTATTTTGGACATGCTTTGTCAGTTTTCATTCAAGCTTGGTACATAGATTATACATGTTAGGATACATGTCCATGACGATTTATTTCACAATTGGATCAAAGATGGTCGACTGGTAGGCATCTTGTTTTTTTAAGCGGTAACTTGGACGTGCTCTGTCAGTTTTCATTCAAATTTGGCACATACATGTACTTTATACATGTTAGGATGCATGTCCATGACAATTTGTTTCAAAATCTGGTCAAGAATGGCCGATTGACAGCCATCTGACTTTTTGGCCTTACTACTTTATTTCCACAATTTATGTACCATTTCCATTCGTATTTGGCACATACATCATACATATCAGTGTGTTTCATAGTAAGATCAAAGATGGCCGAATAACGGCTGTTTTTATTTTTGGCCATATTACTACTACACGGAACACGTGTTTTGATGTAAATAAACAATTTGTTGGAATACGCCACTTGGAACTCAAGTTTCAAGGACACGCTCGCGACAACCTCCCCACTTTAATATGACGAGCTCAAAGAGAACTTTAAAAAAAATAACGGGGACTTGTTTATTTGCGTGCGGCCTCGTGGCTATTTGCCTGTCTGTGCAGTATCAAATTATGACTTGGTTTTGGAAGCAATGATTTTGTCCAGTTAATTACTAGTTGAACCATCATAATTCTTGAATGGACTTCATCCAATATAAAGTTTAATCAAGAATACCAGCAAACTAAAAAAATATAACCAACACAAGGACTTGATGATTTCCCAATTGCCCCTTTATTACTTCAATAACTTCAAATACATTCCGGTGACCACCCTCCACCTATGAATTATTTATTCAAATTACATCACGCTTTTCGACGTCATCAGTAACATGTATGATATGTATTAGTAGCTGCTCAGAATTCATTTGTGACGTTCTTTATTGAAATCTACATCAGCATATTATGTGTAATGTCCTGCCAAAGTACCGCAACTGAAAATAATAATAAATAAGAATGGGTTTTCATAACTACTCAATTTCTGAGTCTAAATTTTGTTCAGAATTGTTTTCCGCGTCTCTGTAAAATTCACGTAATTATGTTTTGTTTATTCGCCATCAACTGTTGCTTTCATAAAACACTTGCATTTGTATTGTTTCATATTTTTCAAAAGGTCATACGATATTTTGAAATTAATAAAAAAATGAACATCTGTAACATTCCATTCGGAAATGAATGTGGATCTGAAATGTCAAGATGTGTCAACATGACTATTCGACTTTTAGTGTAAAATACGAACTTACCCATTTCCTTCACCCCAGCTTCTGTGAAATTCCCCATCAGTTGTTGCATTCACCCCGTCTGATGTAATCCTCTCAAATTCAGGACTTCCATTTGCATCGCCACATAAACCATGTATAACGTAACATTGACTGTAAGGCTGGTAAAGGTCGATTGCTACTCTTCTGACGCCCCACCTCACGATAACGTCGTAATACCCATCTAATTCGAGATCCATTGTCACGTGATATGTATCGGAATGTTTGCTCAATAGGAATTGATCGGACGTACCATAATATTTCGGGAGAACGGAATCATCTATTGGTAACAGCAACCCACCTGTAAGCTGAAAATCGAAAGCAGAACATACATATTGGATAAAACAAATAGATGTTCGACCAGGACACAGACTTCTTATATCACAGGTAGTCAAACAGAGTATATTGATTTATGAATGTTCAACACTAGTTTTGCAAACAACTCAACTCAAAGAAAGATGGCCAGAGGTCACTGGCATGGAGTCTGCTCCATAATACAAGGAAAAAAAGAGAAATAGACGCAGCATTTACTTTCAAATCAACTTCTGCAACGCTGAGCTTCCAAGTCTATGCTAACCACGTGATCAAAACGATTCCCATGGGAGCAGAAATATGCAGTCACATGCAAAAAATATACACTGGGAATTTAAGCAATTCCAAAGAGGTTGGGAAAGTGACGCTAGAAAGAAATATGGAACTGCGAAATGTTGTTCTTGTAAAAAAACTTCTTGATAATTGTACTTAGCTAAACGGAACTGTGACTAAAAAAGACATTTAAAGAGATTTAATGACAGATTCGAACAGCCTTTAAAGAAAACGACGAACAATGTGTCAAGGTCGTGTCAAAGCCGGCAAGAACACAAACTTTTTTGTAATGTTTTGTATGTCGTGTCTGTGACGTTTTTACTGTTATGTGAACATTATTAGAAAATAAAATTTTATTTGAAAAAAAAAAAAAAAAAAAAAACTTTGGTTCAGCAACGCAGAGGTTATAAGCGAAAACACCCCTCATATCAAACATGCATTACGATATTGTAGCATTTTGAAAGTGAAAGAACGTCTATGTTAACCGATCGTGATTGTTGTATGGGTGGGAATTGAAATGTCGGAAATCAAGAAAATGCTTTTGAATGTGAGGGGTCTAAGAGAATATAAGAAGATAGAAAAATATTCACCTGGATTAAAAATAGTAAGCCAAATATTTTTACGTTAAATATACTCATGGTAATGTGTCAGTTGTTGAAACAGTCAGTTGAGCGGACACATAGCATTAAAATAGTCAGTTGAGGGGCACATGTCTTTGTAACAGTAAGTTGGGAGGGGGCACATGACATTGAAACAGTTAATTGAGGAGCCCAAGGCTTTAAGCAGTCATTTGAAGATTGAGTCCAAACTACATTTGATAGAAACGAAATGAGAATTAAGTATTCAAGCTAAAATATATAAAGCCAAGAGACTGGACGAGATTAGATGATACAGCAATGAATCCATCAAAAATCATAGAAACTATTTTTGACAACCAGTTGGGGATCTAGAATAACTATTTAAATTTAATGTTTTTATATAATTTAAGTTTAGTATATAGCAAGTATATGACGACTATAAATAGCAGGTAGATTGGAAATATTTCATGGAATTGTTTGATTGTGATTTCATAGTAGAAAATGCCTACCAAATATGTGACAGGATTGACGCCATCATTAGGTCCAAGCGTGAACGTTTCACCTCCTTGTATTAGTAGCAGCGATCCTACACGATAAT